AAGAATGCATAAATGCATCTTGGTATCTGATTATTTGTGCTTGTTAGTTCATGTCTTACGGTTAAATTTAAACTACCTTAGTGTTCTTTGTTATCACTTATATACCAATCAAATCACTTTAGGTATACATTTTTAAAAATTACAGTCATTATTTTCATTACTGTGAAATTTATCTTTACAATGTTTTGCATTCTGTCTCTCTTGTTAAGTGGTATGTATTTGGTGAGTAATAGTGAGGTGTTAGTTAAATGTAGAGTGCTAGATACATTGATTGAGATGGCTAGGATACTTGTTATGCATGTCAAACCACCATCTTTCTCCTCCAGCAATGTTATCTGACATAAGATCAAGCTGGAAGAGGATTATGGGGTTGGCCTAATCAAAACCTGGCATCAATCTATGAAGTATTTGATAGTTGGTTCATGAACCACGTCGTAAGATCTTTCTCTTGGAGGCTTCGTGTGCCCTTGGAAGTGTGTGGGCGGTTGTTACTTCCCGGCTGCCCACACCGTGGAAGTTGGTTGATTCTTCGGGTACCTGAAACAGAAAGAGGGTTAGTGTTGCTTGACTGCAGAGCGCAGGGGACAACTGCTTGAGGACGGTCGCACACGACCTGTATGAACTGGTTTCTTGGTCTGGTTCCGTATTAGTAAACTTACCGCCGGTTACGGACCACCGTAGGGTAAGTCGGGATGTACAATTGTTGGGGTCGACCTTTCCCAACCCCCTCTCTCCAGAGTGGAGAGACAGCATAGCTGGCATGCTGGTCATCTGAGGGAAACACCTAACTGCTGTTACATCCCTGTTCCCCAGCAGTATGACTTCGCCCACAGACCCCCAGCATAGTGTAAAAAAATCCTTACACTATGCTGGTAACTGCTTTTAGTCTAATCACTATCCTAACAATCTTCCTGGCGTGGTAGCACCAACAGGGACAGTAGTTCCATTCAGTGTAGCTTGTTGGGTCATTGAGATGTGCAAACCCGACCACCACGTCAAGATAGCAGCTATCGGTCGGGACGTAGGATAGTATAGACTATCTGTTTGAGATCCTTGGGATTCTAAGAACCACCGGCTTGAAAATGATGTTGGTGTGGCTGAAAACCGTCCTCAATGGCATGGCGAAGGTGCACTCTGTGTGATAATCTCCCATATCCGTTAAGTCCTCATGTTTTACGTGTCACTATTGTTTCTTCTTCACATTTTAGCTCCTTATACTTCTTTTGAGTGTGTTCTCTCCCTTTTCTCTAACTCTGTGTGTTACATGAAGTGTAGCATCTTGAGCTGCAGACTCAGTTACTCAGTCTGCTATTATCTTTGTACTGCCCTAAAGGAAGCTCTTTTTCCCTGACATCAATAATTCTTCACCGTTACTCGGTATTTCATCTTCAATAGGCAAATAAATGCTATAAAACCTAGTAGAACCACATATCTGTTCTAGTCACCATATTTCATATCAGTATGATGTGAAGGAAATTCAAGAAAAGGTGTAAATCCATCCATGCACTACTTTGAATGCCTTTCTTATTTACAAAGTCGTTCTAGTTTATATCAAACAGTTATTCGTTTTAGATTTATCTTCTCGCAGATGCTGTATTTAATGAGCAGCCTTACAATTTCACTGACCTGTTTTGCAAGTAAACCTATATTAAAAAAAACCTTTGAACTAATCTTTCGGTCTTTTGGTGTGAATGTGTATGTATTGACGACAGTAAACACTAATTATTGTCAAGTAACAGTTGGTCTACCTTCTCAGCATACTTCATTGAAGTTGCTCACTGTCTGTATTTTTACGCATAAGACACTTCAAAGATAATTTTTTTGACATTGGAAACAGAAAATCAAGTTTATTTTTAGTTGTTTGTCTATTGACCTTCATTTTTACTATTGATTAAGTATACATAATTATATTGACCACATATATTCTCACTAGCCTGTGTTTCATTCTCTCTTTATAAACAATACAATACAATTAGTTCATTTAATATATTATGATCAATAATAGTGAGTGAGTGAGTGAGTAATTGTTCAGCATGGATTACGGGTTTTATGGATAGTATTTACTTGTATACAGTTTCTTAGCAATCAATATGCAGGTGGTAGTTGTGTTGCTCCACAACAGCCAACACAGTAGAAGTTTATGTCTTTTCTTTTAGGATATCAGCGAAATCCTTGTTATTAACCGTTATTTTTTATTAGATACTGCTTCAATAAATACCGTCTTTTCCTAATTGCTGTGAAATCTTTTGTATATACTTAAAGAATACCACATTTCGTTTTCCTAATACACTCCTCTAACCCTAAACTGAGCAGTTAAGATATTTCAAACTTCATGGGTGAAATTAAAGCAATACAATTTAGCTTATAGGTTTCCAGACTGCAGATGTTTCAAACTCCCTGGAATAATTTCACCACCGACTCACATTGAATCATTATAAATTATCTGAAATAATCCCAGCATCGTTTTTAAGAAAAAATCAAAACAAGATTTTTCTAAACGTTTCTCTGTGTAACCCATAGCCTCTTCAACAGAATCATTCGAACTTTATTAACCATCAAAATATATAGTCAAAAATATTACACAAATTGAAGTGAGTTCCTTTGAAGGTCACCTGTCGATAGACATTCCTACCAATAGAAATATGCAAACAGTCATCACGTATTTGTAATGACCAATGTCAAATTGTAATAGGTGCATGTTTGTCCGCATGCGTATGTTGTTTGTTATGTGGGAAACACGTCAAAACATGATAATATTTTACAATGGTCATAATATAGGATGAATATATTTTTTCCTCATCTGCTTTGCTTCACTAGAGTCCGACATATAGGTGATAAGTCTCTTCACTTCAGTTGATGTGATTGAAATATGCAAGGCTTCAGGCGTCAGTCTTTCTTTATGTGAACGAAAGTCTCTTCTTAGAATTTAGAGATTATCGAAGTCGATCTTATGTCCGCTGTCTATAGTATGCATTGCTATGGCTGATCTTTTTTCTAGACTCTTTAATTCTACTTCATTCCTAGAAAGCTTTACACGTCTTGTGTAATCATCCAGTTGAACGGTTTGAGTAACTTTGGATGACATTGTAGCATATACTGCTGGTTGATATGAATAGTTGGGATCCGCTAACGTCAAGCAGTGGTGGTTTGATTACATGACTCTCTTAGATATACTGTCACCTTGAATAGAAGAAGAGCACGTCACACAGGGCTAAAACCAAGACAGAAACAGTCCATCTAGTTAGTCTCTAACAGTTAACCTTTTTTTTCCAATAAATTACATGTATCCTTTTTTAAAACATAAAAAAGCAGTTGGGGTTATTTTTTTCGCACCGTAGACAATAAGCGTCCATCATCGGTGGCACAACTTCTAATGAAGTAACATTGTACCATTTTAAATTATTTCAAATAATCCCAAAGTGCTTAAGAAAAAACGAGATTTTTCTAAACGTTTCTCTTCTTCAGCAAATCTTTATTTATTTATTTTCGGATTATAGCTTGAAACCACACAGTATTTTTGGTACAAGTATGGAATTTTCAGCATATGATATCGGTAGCCCAAATTTTGCAGGCCGATCATAGATATCAGGTGTGCGTCGGCATGGGATCGAACCCCGAACCATGTGCATGGTCGGCGAGAGTCCTCACCGCTGTGCTACCGACGCACAGTCTGAAAAGAAAAGCACTGACAAGTTTTAGTTGTCATCCTAGAATATGGTACAGATATGTAGATGAAACAGTTTCAGTAGGTTTAAATCTCGTAAGTAGAGATAGAAACATTATAACATATAACGACTATACGGAGAACGAGATCTCCAATATAAAACAAATTTTGATTGGAAATGGTTATCCGAAAAAGCTGTTAAATAATATTATCAATACAAAGGACCAAAAGGGAAAACAGAAAATTGAAAACCTTTGGCAATCGACGATAGCTATTCTATATCGAATGGATACAACTGAACAACTTCAAAAAGTACTTGCTTCATATAATGTTAAAGTCTGTTTGAAGCCCTCTAATTCTTTAGAGGAAGCTTGGGTAAGTGTCAAAGATATGGTTCCCAAAATGATACAAAACAACTGTGTCTATAGGAGCTAGTGTTCAGAATGTGAAGCTTGCTATATAGAGAAGAGCAGTAGGCAAGTGAAAGTCAGAGTGAATGAACACAAGCAGTGCACGAAACGTCCGCGTAGACATGAAGTAGAATTAAAGAGTCTAGAAAACAGATCAGCCATAGCAATGCATACTATATACAGCGGACATAAGATCGACTTCGATAATCTCTAAATTCTAAGAAGAGACTTTCGTTCACATAAAGAAAGACTGACGCCTGAAGCCTTGCATATTTCAATCACATCAACTGAAGTGAAGAGACTTATCACCTATATGTCGGACTCTAGTGAAGCAAAGCAGATGAGGACAAAATATATTCATCCTACATTATGACCATTGTAAAATATTATCATGTTTTGACGTGTTTCCCACATAACAAACAACATACGCATGCGGATAAACATGCACCTATTATAATTTGACATTGGTCATTACAAATACGTGATGACTGTTTACATATTTCTATTGGTAGGAATGTCTATCGACGGGTGACCTTCAAAGGAACTCACTTCAATTTGTGTAATATTTATGACTATATATTTTGATGGTTGATAAAGTTCGAATGATTCTGTTAAAGAGGCTGTGGGTTACACAGAGAAACGTTCAGAAAAATCTTGTTTTGATTTTTTCTTAAATACGATGCTGGGATCATTTCAGATAATTTATAATGATTCAATGTGAGTCGTTGGTGAAATTATTCCAGGGAGTTTTTTACCATCTATGGTCTGGAAACTCATAATAGTGAAGGAAGCCGTGAACCATCTGACATGTTTGGTGATAACATTTACTTTGAAGTGCAGAAAATTAATTTCTCTGTATTTTAGTTCCAACATTAAGTAACTCGTGTCACCTATGCTATTCTACTTTGTTTTATTTTATTTTAAAGTCTCACTCAAGTATACAGTTTCTTGTTACGTGCTGGTGTCGGTAGCTCAGATCCTAGTGAAAAATTGAATGATCACCCTGAAAACACTGTGGATGAAGTTGATGGAAGTCAATTGCGTGAAAAGGTAAACATTTTGTTTATTTGTTTATTTATTTACTTATTTGTTTTCTTTACTCACATAACTCTCAAGAGATATCATAAATTCAATTCCCCTCCATTATAGCTGGAATTTCACTTGAAGTTGCCACACGTTACTTGTTTACATCGTTTCTCTAGATTATATTATTATGGATTTTCTCTCTTGCCCGTTTGTCCTGTTTCTTCCACTTACTGTCTTTCATTCTAAGTTCTTTTTTTTCAAGAAAAAACAAGTCTTAATATCAAAATACATAATCTTTCTATTTCACATGATCTTCCCTAGTTATTTATCAGTGTCCTAACATCAGTCTAATATAGGAAATATAATGTATGCCTATTTCTTAGAGTAAAAAGTACATCCTGTCATTCGTATGCAGATTTCCGATTAAATGGCATATTATATAGCAATGTCCACGTTTTCCTTGAACCATCACAGTCTGGACCTGCTTTGATTTTTACGAAATAGCCCAATTCAGATATGTAATTTCTTTCCTTCAGTTGCTAATATCAACGTCCGTTGCCCCGAAACAGTTTTTCTATTTCCTCCAGCATATAGTATTCTGTTCAATAAAATTCCCTCATCAGGAAAACTTACTATTGTTATTGTTATTATTATTATTGTTATTATGGTAGTCTGAAATTTATCCTTATGCATAAACGAAAATGATCGATTACAAAACTTGAGCATTTCGATGACTGTGGGTTATTATTATTATATTATTATTGTTTCCTTTAATTCCTAGAGGAACATAGGGCTTCAACCACGCATCTCCATTGCGTTCGGTTCTCTGCTAGAGTTTTCACCTGGCTCCAAGTCTGCCCACACCCTTTCATCTCCTCTTCACATGACCTCCTCCAAGTCACCCTTGCACTGACGACCAACTCGCCGCTTCCCTTTCGGGTTCCACTCGAGCAATGGCTTGTCTAGTGATGTCACTTGATGGTTTCCTAAGAGTATGGCCAATCCATCTCCATTTCTTCCCGCCTATTTGTTTCACAGTCGGTTCCTGGTTGGTTTGCTCATTGCAAGAGATCTCTGTTGCTGATCTTTTCTGGCCATCTGATCTTCAGTATTGAGCGAAGACAGTTGTTAATGAAGGTCTGAAGTTTGTTTGAGATGCTCTTTATGACGCGCAGTGCAAGTCTCTGATCTGTATAGTAGCACTGACTTCAAATTGGGGTTGAAAACCGGATCTTATTTTTGATGCTGAGTGCTGTTGACCTCCACACATACTTGAGAGTAGTGAAAGCTTGTCTTGCTTTTCGTATTCTTGCTTTGATATCCTGGTCAGTTCCGCCTGTAGTTGAAACGATGATTTCCAGGTAGGTAAAAGAGGTTGTCTTATATTTTAAGATTTCCTCTCACAACATTCCTTTCTTTCTAAACGATTTGAAACACTAACTACATTAAGAATGATTTAAAAAATAATTGTAACTGAAGATGTAGAGTTGTATGTGGAAGTCTTATTTTTTTAACTTTCATTGAATCTGATAGCAGGAATCCTATTTCGAACTGTGTTCGCTCAAAAAACACTTCCACCCCCACCATTTGTTGTAAATAGTCCTGCCTTCTTTTCTCCTTCTAGTATAATATTATTTGATGTAGTTTGGTGGATGGTGGCTAGCAATGGAATCTATGAGATGTGCTTTTTGTCCTGTTAGGAGTTCGTTGGTAGAATGTACCTGGAATCTGCAGTGAATGATAGTGTTCCCACTGAGACTCGAACCTACCGCCTATCGTTTTAAGTGCTAAAGCGCCATCCAGTAGACCGACCACGAGTGGCACTTATAGTGCAACGGTTACCAGTTGTCAGTGGATAACGCTTTGACGTTTGAGGCAATAAATGCTGGCTTGGAGTCTCAGTGGGAACACCATCATTCACTGAGAACTAAAGCAAATAGTACTATTTCGTTTACTATTTTTTGCAGGGATACAAAAACAATCTGCTTTAGCCACAGCATATAAATGTTTAGTTTCTCAACTCTTTGTATTATATGCTAACACCAACTTACGTCACTATGCTAAGTATATCGTAGTTTTATTTAAAATGTGAACATATGTTACACCAAGTGCTCAGATTTTATTTTCATTTGAAGTATTAACAGCTGTTGTCTCATCCACTGTCTAGGACACAGAGAATCGGTTGATACTGTTAGGTTTGACTGATCAACAAGTAACACTGAGATAGTAACTGTTACAGAGGAAAGGAATACTTTCTAAAATGTGATGTATCTCAGATCTACTTTGCTTCGTTATCAGGCTAGGTAGTAGGGCTTGTCTTATGGTAAATCACTTACTACCTCTTAAGATCCTGGACTATATGTTTTTCCTGTTATTCTAACATTAATATGGTTTCTTATTCAAAAGTATCACAAAGAAGTGATATGCCTTAATGCTGTTTGTATTCATCACTTCAACTACTGTTACAAAATTGAACTAGGAGTGTTATTTCAAAGTTTAAAAGAACACTTTAGTTGTGGCATGATTTAAACCATCAACTTGCAGATTCCTGGTCTTAATTTCGCTTTAATCGGTGAAGGTTTTGGACCAGCTGTTGATTCAGTGTAACCATACTCGTTCTTTGACTTTTATGTATTCATTACTGTATTGTAGCGAACACTGATAAACCAATATACCAAATATAAATACACTTGTGTAGTTTTGTACTACAGAGTTGTGCTAGCAAAATATTCCCTTGCTGCTGTACACTAGTGATACAATCCAAATTGAATCGTATAAATATGTGTGTACCATGTTTTAGTTATGAAAATTATAACAACATTATAACAAGTAAACTATAAGCACCGAATCTAGCTGATTATAATTTCTGTGTTTACTTTAATTCTCATTATTTTGATCAATAATCATCTTATCACACAGTCTGTGCATTCAACTTGCACGTGCGTGTAGTAGTTGTGTTATTATAAGTTATAAACATTCTCATATCATTGAATTAATTGTTCTTCTACAGCATAGTTCATAAAAATTAAATTGCTAGATTTCATTTCTACATGTGTTAACTAATTCTTATCGCTGAGAGATCTTGTGATAGCAATACTATCTAATAGTCATATTCGTTTTACTATTATAAGCTATAAATTTGTGTTGGAAATGCCTTCGGTAAATAATACAGCATGACTATTCACTCTCATGTAATTACACTCTAGTACTGCTGATTAGCAAACTCACAACTATAACGACTGAATTACATATAGAGTATTATTGTTATTACTATTAAGACACAAACTTGGTATGTTATGGGCGCCACGAGATGCCCCGCACAAAATCTCATAGTTTGTACGCAGGTAGGGGATACTGCGCAGTCACCCAGACCGAAGCAGGTGGTTGTCTTAACAGGGACACCCACCCTCGAGCCTTTGACTCAAAGTCTAATGCACAAGGCAATGGAGTCGCCTACCCATGGCTTCTGGTGACAAAAATAAGTTCATACGACATTCGTCGCGTTTGGATTCTAGAGACCACATATACCACATGTATCTGGAATCAGGGTTTTTTAGCTCTCCTAGGCAGACCAGCATGTTCACCATTCCAGTTGTAAGCGCCAGGCGTTCTCATTCTCCCTTTCACTTTTGTGAGGGACATCACCACCACGTGAAGGCAGTTAATAGGGGTTACCTGTCAGAAACTATGAACACGTGGCTACATGAGAGCACTTCTAGAGGGAGACAGAAGTTTACCCACCCTCCGCTGTACTAGGTCACTTATTATAGCTGCTACTTCACCTGACAAACTGATGTGGAAGTATTGAAGGTCTGGAAATGATACTGTTGAAAAGTGATTGAGATACATATTAAATAGTCTGAAATAATGAAATATTTAATGTCTTGAACAGTACAAAGCTTAGATGTAAATATAGCAATAGAACAGATTGTAGTTATGTCACTAGTTAATGCCTAAATAGCCTTTGGTTGACGTCTACTCCGTTAAGTGTATAATATCCTGCATATGTCAAGTCAGTAATATTCAATCTATGTGTTGTTACCATGTTTCATTATTATGGCAAATGTTCATCAGGATATAAGAAAGGAAAGAAAGCCACCGGAAAATATATTTCGAACTTTTCATTTTCAATACATATACAATCACACGTTCATATGTTTTTGTTTAGCAGTACTCGAAACCTAAAGAATTAACAATTTCGAATAGAAAGTAGCCTATTAAATATAAATATCTAGTTATCAAAAGGGACTTTTGTCGAAAGAAGTATAGATGCAGCCGACGGGATTTTATCATCTATATTCCTCATCTGACAACTATGATGTGTACGTGTGTCAGTTATCTGATTCTTGTAAAGCCTTGTACGTAGGTCTTTCAACGCATTCTTCTTCCAAACCGACACAAGAACATTTTCCCTTGTGGCTAAATTAAGAAACCAATAGATTTGCTTGAAGTGTGTCGGTCGAACGCCTCATCAACACTGAAATGATGTTTAAAATAAAACCTACAAGGTGAAAAGAAGTTTACCGAAAATAATACCTGTCTAATTTCTTTGTCTTATATAGGACCCCGTTTTTATATTACATAGGATTGTGAGAATTGTCTATAACAAAGTAACTTGTTCAACTTGTATCTGTTTTATTTTCACAGTTAGTAGCTTTTAGACGCCAAATCTGTATTTCCCTTACTGTTTTGTCACTCATCTTTTAGCATTAGCGACACAATATTGTCTTTATGTCGTTTTCATGATTCCGTTGAAAGCAAGTGCTTCTAAAAACCTGGATGCCATAGCATATCCAGTTAAGTGTTCCTGAGAAACTCATTTCATTCAGATATTATAATGCCTATATATGAGATACTATCAATTGCCAGCATGCATTTGCTTTTTCTAAACCATATTATTTTGACGAAAAACACATAAACCAATTTGGTTTATCGATAAGATACAGCTCATAATTGTGATCAAGACAGTCGCAATATCAAAACAGTTTCTTGAACTTTCCAATGTTCATTTCATAACTATGTGAAAAGACATTCGTCCTTTCGATTTCTTGTTGAGTCTCCTGTGAGATGAATTACCTTCACTTCAGATGATCTCCTTCTACCTTTGCTGTTAATCTTAAGAGGCATAAAACGCTAGATATTGATTAAAATTACACCTGATTTATTTAGACCTTATTTAAAATTATGCCTTTGCCTCTGCTATTACCTGTTGGCGTATATTTTTATGACAAGTCAATATGTACCTTCGATTGTATTTCCTTTGAAATTCTGAACAGTATTAACCAAAAAGCCTGTGTTCATGAATACTGTGAATAACCTTATTAGATGCATGCCACCGTAAAGCTCTTCTGATGAGATACAATTTTTCTTTCATCTCACCTAACACAGTAGTCTATATACTGGCAAGAATTTCTGAATTACTCGCTTTGATGTAGTACTGAAAATTCTCACTTCTTGTTGTGGTTCTCTTAGTAGTTTTATTACCGTATTAGTTTGGTTATTTTCGGGCAATCTTTAGATTGTTAATTTGGTGCTTTCTTTTCATGCCTTGCCTTCAAACTTTGAATTCTCTGTAGCCCTGGTGTTGTCCTTCTATGGGTTGGTGGGGTTGCTAGCCTGTATTCCAGGCTAACTACTACCTAGAAAGCTAGGCAGAAGCAAAGTTTAGGAGCGCCTCGACTAAGAATTGAACTATGGACCACGTATGTGGTTGGCTAGGATTCTACCAATGAACCACAGATGCACATCTTCAGTGGTCCGTCACGGGAAATATTATTCTTTTTTCTTTGTAAGTAATGTTATGGGGCAGGACCTTCAAAACAGTGTGTAGCTAGTCGATGAACTAGCTTTTGTAATTGATCATTTTGGTTCAGTAATTTACGCATACTCTTCTGGGTGTACAACTTGGCCATTTGCTTTGTAAAGTAGAGCTTTTCAGTTTAATGTATAAAAAAATACCCGAGAACATTTCTTTTTTCACATGTGATTGAATTTTTAAGGAAGATGGTTTTTCTTTTCACCCTGTAAAGTATTACATTATTTAGTGCATATTTCACCACATAAATGGTATCAATATTACCCAAACTATCTGAAATTACTATGGAAACATGCAAATGATATACAATAATCCAATATGATATTGTTTTTCCTCAAGAATATTTGATTGTTTCATGCAAAAGATGATTTGATGTTCCAATGTAGTTGTTAGTGTTTTATCGCTTTACCAGTAAATATATTACGATAGTCTTATTAATCTTCAGGTTTCGAAAAAACTTTTGGATTTAACTTCGGTGTTGGATTTATTCGGTATGAAGCAGGTAATTCGTGGTATGCTAACAGAATAGAGCTCTATGGTGTCATAACTATCTAACCAGTGTTTCATAACTTTTGTGTTTTTTTGGTGAATGACCATAACATACACTGAGAATACTTTTTCGACTGTAGTTGTTAATACCAAAGGGAGGTATGATCTCTAAGTTATTTCTAACTTTATCTCATCAGCATTTTGAGGCCTTAAGGTTAGTGTATATGTCCGCTTCTACGTTTTCACTTATTCTTCCAGCTAATGGAGTCACTATTATGACACTGGGAACATATCAGATTGCACATCTAAAAGTGTCCATTACATCCTCTATTCAATAATTGCATATCTATATATCTACAAAGGTTCTAAATGTTTTACCTCAGTTACATGGAACCATCAGAGCTGTGTCAAGTTTCTTTTACCAATTAAGACAAGTTATATTAACCTTAATCGCCTAAGATAACTGTAACATGTGTTACCTCTACCTTAAAGAAAACTACACATACTACGAGAAGTAGAGTTGTTACTGATCATGTATTTTAACCTAAATTTGTTTAATATTTTTCAGTATGTACTAATATAACTAAATTTTGACAATTGTTTCTACATTTTCTTATATAGGGGCAAAATCTGGAGTCTATTGATACAACACAACAACGACGTAGTTTAGTGGAGGAGATTTTAGAAAGTATGGAAGAATCAGTTCCTATAGCATCGCTTTCTGGTGGAGAGAGCAGAATACTAACTGATGAAATGCTAGCAGACGTAAGTATTTCATTTATCACTGAAAGTTTGATTGCTGAGCGAGTTGCTTCTTTTTGATGTGGTTGTGTTCTCTGAGCTGGATAATTAATTTGCGAAGCTTCCATCACCCTACTGGGTGACATCTTCAGCGCATACTTCAATTTGAAGTAGGCTTCTAGACTTCTTCACCAGTTTATCAATCATCTCTCCTGGTGACCTTGGATGTGATTGGTTGTTTTTGTGTGTTTTCACACCATCTAGGTTACTTGTATTGTCACTCATTGTTTCTTTGACTTGAACTTTGACCCTTTGTGTGTGAGGTTTCTTTCTTATCGGTTGATAAATTTTGTCTATCTCTATGTGTCGATTGATTGATGAATCACTGGAATGCCAAGCTTCTAAAACTTCTCTAGCATTCTTGTTGTTTCCTCTCTCTAATATTTGAACGTTGTCCCAGTCGAATTGATGTCTGTGGTTGTCTGTATGCAGTGATATGAGGAAGTGGAAATCATGTCTTTTGACGGAGTAGCTTATGTTCGTGGATACGAAGACGAAGGGGACGTCTACTTTGGCCAATGTAATGTTTATCGCAGTTGATACAATCTATTTTGTAGATGATGCTGGTGTTATCTTCCTTCGCTGTTGAGTCTTTTGGTTGACATGGAATTGAGTGAAGTGACTTTTTTGGTTTGTGTGCGACGTCAATTCCTGAAGGTTTGAAGAGTCTTGTAGTGATTTCTGAGATGTCCTTTATATATGGTAAGGCGACTTTCTTTGTGCTTTCCTTGGAGGCTTTTGGTTTGATAGGTTGGCTTGGGGGTATATGTCTTTTGATGAAATTCCGTGGATATCCATTCTCTTGGAAGACGTTCATGAGATATTTTTCTTCAATTTTCCTTGAGGTGGGAGTGCACTCAGAGAACACAACCACATTAAAATCATCCACCTGAGCTACAAATCTTCTCTGTCATATCTAAATCTTACGAGTTGCTTCTTGTTTTTTTTTCTTGAGAAGCATGTAGATTTTGTTTTACTGAACAAATGAAAGTAGAACTATTAGAAAATTCATTGAAATTTATTCGAAATTTCTAGACTCGCATTCATGTCAAAGTAATCTATTTACTTATTGTTATTATTTAGAATATTATTATTCCCTTGAGTTCTGAGTGGAACATAGGGCTTCAACATCTCATCTCCATTTCATCCCATTCTCTGCAGTCCTTTTTAGTTGACTCGAGGTTCGCCCATGTCGTGGTTGGACGCCCAACTCATGGTTTCCCATTCAGGTTCCACTCTAGGGCTGGTCTGATATACGGTATCACTCAACGATCTCCTCAGGATATATCCAGTGGTCTTCCATTCCCTTCAGTGTATTAGTAAGGCGATAGGGTTCTTGATTAGTTTTTTTCCCGGAGTTTCATGTTGCTAATCTTTTCTGACTAGTCTGATCTTCACTATAGAGAGTTAGTGATGGCAGCTGTTGATAAAAAAAGTGGAATTGTTTTAAAGCGCTTGTAAGTAGCTGTCAGTTAACTGCACATCTATGAAGATACTGCCTGTTTGTATGACTACTATTACCAGCAGGAACTGTCACTCTTCGTAGCTGTCGTTGTCTGGAATTTCGCCAGTTGAACTTTTGATATTTTTTCGTCAAAGCCGATTAATCGGATAGTGGTTATATTTCAGACTGTTACCTTGTTGTCATAGCAAAATAAATAGTAAATATTGATTGAAATGTGGTGGGAACATAGTATAATATAAATAATAATATGAAGTTTCTGACTTGGCAGATATAAATGTGTATGGTTCTCTGGTAGGGATCCTTGCCTTTTGGCGAAGTCTTCCCACTTTCGAACAGAGAGAAGTGTGTTCCGCTCGTAAGATTCAGATATGATGGAGAAGATTTGTAGCTCAGGTAGATGACTTTGATATGAATAAGTAAAGCGTATCTGCAACCGTGAAAGTACTCAAGTCTCTTCTGAGATTCGAACCCATGTCACTTAACGCTGCAGTCAGAGACAATACCACTGAGCTAGTCAAGACCACATCAAAATCATCCACCTGAGCTACAAATCTCCATCATATCTATAAATGTGTATATTATGTATATTGTATATATATACATTTATGTTTTTTTCATTTCCAGCTCAGCGTTAACTTTCCCGCTCAGTGGATTGGTTCAAATTTAGTCTCTATTTATAAATCTGAAGATGATGGTTATTGTTTAAATACAGTGTATAGAAAATGCAAAGATGTTGAAGGTGGTGTTTTGTTACTGATTCGAGATACTATGGGTGTTGTATTCGGTGCAGTTATGTCAGAAGGAATGAAGTGTAGTAAAGGATTTTATGGGACTGGTGAAACATTTGTCTTTCATTGGAAACCAACATTTAAAGTAAGTTTCTTTTTGTTAAATTACATGTTATATGCTTATTGTTCTACTAATTTCCTCTTATCACATTTGAAGAGTTACTCTTCTTTCTTTCTGTTCCTTTTCTCTCTCTTCTTTTTCCGTTATGTGCTGCTTTGTCTCTTTCTCTCGCTTACGCCAGTTAATAAGACAGCTCCCACTTTTCTAACACCTTCAAACACTGTTTCAGCTTTACCTTTGCTGCTGACATGCCAATGTATTGTTGTAATAATGAACTGCGGTTTCCTCAATCTATGTAGAATTCTATTTATTGATAATGTACAAACTGGATGCAATACTGTAGTAAAAATGCTGAGAATTCTATTCTGTATCACAAGTACTGTTTTGGAATAAAGCAAATTATTATTATTATTATTATTATTATTATTATTATTATTATTATTATTATTATTATTACTCTTGGTAGATTGTCGAAAGGGAAATTAACGGAAATCCTCAAATTTGAAGTTTACTTCCCTATGCATTTGCAGATCACTAGATAATAGGAGTAATCATTCTGGAAGTCCTAAAATTAACTCTTGCATTAGGTATTTAAATCTTTTACCATCTCCATCTTTGCAAATTGTGATTATGAAAAAACTCTGTTTTATTTTATTTATTTTATCAAGCTACTTAAATGTTAAATAAGTAAAAGGGTTGACAACTTGTATTTTGTAGTTAGTACTTCAAGCCTGTTGTAATGGAAACTTAAATACTGTGGGACTCATGGGTTTTTTTCTAGTTTCGTTACGCTGTCTGGATTAAACTGCTTCTAGTTGTATGGTGTGCTCCAGGATTTTATGTTTGATAGTTAAGTTGTATGCCGTCTCATTCATTACACTGAAAGGCGAAGTGTTTCTTTAGTTATTTGGGAATTTATAAAGATTATTTTTCTGACTCCAAATTTCCCTAGATTATACAGTTGAGATTGATTTCTGTCACATGTTAACTTTCTTTTCTTCGATCTGTTATGTGAATATTTGACCTTTTTTAGCGACTTAATGCCTCATTTTGCGTTTGAGGGATTGTTTTCGTGTCGGTGTCCTCATTCGTAAATAATCTATAGACTGGGTCTTTTCCCATGAGTTTGTGCTTGACTCCTCTTATAATATGTCTAACTGTTCCTGTTGTTGTTGTGTAATGTAATGTAGTTTATATATGGATGTGTGACTTCTTGATGCATTTGTATTATGGTGATCGGAGAGTGGGAAAATGCAAACCCGTTGTTTTGTTGTCCTGTATTTGTAAACCTAACGGCTTCAAAGGGTTTTCATCCGTCAGGATTAATTTCGCTTCCAAATAGCATGTTTGCAGAATAGAAAAATTGTAATGGGAATCAAATTGGATGAAGGATTGATAAGAGATAGAGAACCTTTGAAAACTGAGAAGCACTGGACAGCTGTTTTGTCGTAGTTTAGAACTTTTCAGCAGTATACTCCTACGACTCTATTGGAGGTGGAAATGATGAATTCTAATATTAATTTTGATTGTTGGGGTGAAAAATGACTGTAACTACTGCACCATGTCCTCAATAATCGGTCCTTATGTACGGAATAAATCTGACGGTGATACTAGATAGTTTCCATAAGGAATATCACTTCGTATATTCGATATCTAGGCAAATATTACCATATATTTCCTAAAATTAAAATTTTTGCCTAGTCCTTTGCCTATTCAGTAGCAAAATGAAGCCGGACTTAATTAATTCAGAGGTATTTTACTTATTTCTAGTTGGTGTACTTTTGCCGGCTAAGTGGTTAAGGCTCAACTAACTAAATTAATGTCTTCAACCAATAAATTGTGCTATTCAGGGATCTTATTCACTGCATGTACTAAACTTTTCTCTTTCAAATATTACAGTTATTCAATATTATTACTATTTTTTTCATGAAATTAATACTCTTTGAAAAATATCCACTGATTTCATGTATTTATTCACACTTCCAGAAATACTGTTGGACCAAAAAGAATTATTTCTTTATGCGAGGATCGCCTCACTCGTTTCATATCGGTGGTCAGAGGTGAGCTTCTTATCATATCGCATTTATTTTTGTTGGTTCTAGATTATGTGGTTATTTTGTTGTTATATTTATCAGAAAAACGAGTTTGTCCTGAATTTTGGTGGGTTGATTCTCATTTAGGGTTTTAGGAAGATTTGAGTAGCATGAGGTTGGAATTTCTAATGAATTAACATCATTTTCAGTCCTCTAGACTTCCGTCCTTCTAAGAAAGTGATTAAGCACACTTAAAATATTCAATACTGCTTCGTTTTAAACAGTTCCGTAGTTGTCATAACGAACTTGTTCATTAAAACTCTCCACTCTCTTTCGTATGCTACGGATTTAAGTAGAAAATTAATCTCCCTGTTGGGTGCTATTCGTTTAAGTTTATTTTGTATTTTCAGTTGTTAGATTTTCGCTACGAATTAACAATGGGTAAAGAGATCATTGGAAACCAAGTAGCACTGGTTGGCTGTATCGCCTCGTTTAAGGACTCTTCGGTGGTGCGGTGGGAAGTGGGGGTCATTGAAGGTACTGGAGATGGTGGCATCATCCCACTAATTGGTAAAATGAGAATTCATGGGTCATTGAGTTTCAGTTCAGGTGGCTGAACTGTCAACGAGTTCGGTACCGGAACCTAAAAATCCCAGGTCCGGTCGCTGGTGGGATCAGGGGTGCTCACTGAAGAGTACCTAAGTAGGAAGAAAAAGCTGTTCAGTGCTCTGTGGTTTTCAGTGGTCTTCCCGCCTGATGTTGATTTGTGACGAAAATATAATAACTGCGATTAGTCAAAGTCGCTACAAATTCCATCACTGGAATATTATGTATTTCCCGTTGATTGTTTATATTGGACCGAAATGATCAGTGTCTGTTAAGATGTCACCTCTTAGTATGGACTCTTTAACGACATTTGAAGATTAATATGGTTTTATTTAGTAGTTGGTGACTATCTTTGGTATCTAGAATAAGTCGTTCCCTCCTGTTTTGGACTCGTATCTGGATGTACCTGCAATCCCCAGTGAGACCTAAACCCAGAAGCCTTATTGCAAGCACCTAGGCGTTATTCACTCAATCAACGATACTTGTTGCACAAGAGGTGTCTCTCTCGGCGCCCGATTGACTTAATAGATAACTCTTTTTAGTGTTTAAAACGGTGAGTGCTGGGATCGAGTCACGGTGGGAACGTTATCACCCCCTGGAGATCGCCTCATTATCCAGTTAACGACTCACAAATAGGACGAAACGCACGTCCTGATTTCCACTGTTAGTCACATTTTAATAATACCTATTTGGTGTTTTATTTATTGTGATAACAGAAAATGACTTAGGATTAAAAAGTCTACCTCGTGTACATTTTACTCTAATGAAGAGACTCTTTGTTCAAACTGTCATACTCATTTGAGAGTTTATATCAAACTGCACTTTCAAATGGTCCCTTCTCTTTTCAACAATGAATTCACAATAAGATAGTGAATATATACTGAAACCTATTTCTTTTTATCTCTAACCGAATTTCTCATATATTTTCAATGTTGAAATCATTACTTTAATACCATAACATTTAGCATAAATTAATTAAACATTACTGTTTATTTTTTTCTATTCTTCAGTGGAAGAAATGCTATTTGGTTCGATGAATCACTGAAATACGGTCGTAGTGAACCAACAGATACATATGATAATCCTGTACTCAGTGGAAATTTACCAGATATTCAATTCTCTTCTGTGTCAATTGATACTGCTCAAAACACACAGTCAATAAATAATCCTCCTGAATCGATTAAGAAACAATCTTCAACAATGATGTATAACAGTGTTCCATTTGTAATTGATACTGTTGAATTGTGGCAGTTAGTTAGTTAGTTAACTAGCTAGTTAGCTAGTTAAATGTCTACATTTGTGAAGTGTGTATTGACGATAAATACAACTGATTTTTCCTTCTGTATGTGTGTTTGCACTATTTTTATTCATGACATATTAAGGAGTGAAATCTATTTACTTGAATTTATTACTTCTATTATTATTATTACTATTAATATTCCGTTTCTTTTCTAATTATCATATAATAATAATGATGATTGGAGAAACAATCAAGTTTTCCGCGCGTACACATGTGCGACTGGTAGATTTATCAGACACATTTCCTGCTTCCCCTTGTAAGCTCAGTTACTAAAACCTCTTTTTCTTCTCTCTCTTGATTTTGATTTTAATATGAAAAGTGAATTTTGTTACCTTATTTTTCCGAATTTAATTATCATTCCATATTTTATCTGATAAATACTTTCTTTTTTGTAAAATAGTTTCGTTGCTTATTTATACTTACAAAAATGTGCATCTACTCAAGGAATGAGAAAAGAAAAAAGTGGTTTATTCAGTTATTGTCTCTGTTCTCTACTTTGTCTAATTGTGATTGTCTACTGACTTTGTTTCTAGTAATGCGACATTCTTCCCGCCGCCACCCCCTCCCTATTTTATGTATGCAACTTGTGTTGTTTTATTTCAAGTCGGATCATGGGTTGGCATCAGTTAGAGAACTATTGAAAACCAGAGAGTACTGGTTTGGGACTCTTCATCGGTACACACCCGCGAAAAACCCAGGCCTTCAGGTTACAAGACCGAACTCGTTGACCGTTTAGTCACTGGGCCGGAATTCAATGACCCGTGAATTTTACTTTCTGTCAATTAGCGATTTGAGCGCCACTGTTAGCTAAAGTCGTCGGCGAATGTTTATCCTCGAGTCTGACCTGGTTGGTTTGACTGCACTGGTCATGACTTCTCACCAAAACTCCAGTCAACTTCGTCCTTTATAGTCACTGGTGAATATCAAATTAATTTTGTGTTGTTTTACATCTTGCTCATTACAAAACATAGTTGTGACTTATGTGCTTTGTTTGACTATAAGAAGTGACTTGATGAGTTACATCATCAGCCATTTGAGGAATTATATAGAAAATCGAATTGGCTATGATGCGTTGTTGATGGTTGTCAATATCTGACCTGTGTGGATGTCGTTAGATTGCACCCCTTATGGCACATGTGAAATATCTCGTTGTATATTAACAGCAAAGCATAACAACACACTTCACTCTCCTGTTAAAGGTAGTAGATCTTTCAACAGCGTCACGAAACTGATGTCGAAGAAAGACACAGATTAGAGAACCAATGGCGTGTTTAGTATCGATCGTGGGTAAGCAGCTGCAACCATGCCTTGATCTCCTCATACAACTTTTCTTTAACCCTGTGATTTATCATGTTAGATATCTTCATTAGTAATTCATGAAAAAGACAAGTGAATATGCTACGCGAAATCATTTACGACATGTTATTTTTTTGGATCCAACCTGACTGTTTGCTACTCTCTAATTCTGGGTCCCGTGTTCGCGCTTCAGTAAGTGCCTACTCCGTCCTCCTTTATGGCTGTGAGACCTGGCCATTGAGAACAGAAGACATGAAAAGATTAGCTGTCTTCGATCATAGGTGTCTGCGTTCTATCTCTGGCGTGAAGTGGTATAATAAGGTGAGCAATATTCAGGTTAGGCGTCGAGTGCTAGGTAAGGCGGGGAAATCAATCGACGAAACTGTGATTTTACATCGACTGAGATGGTTAGGACATGTGTTACGTATGCCTTGTAATCGCCTTCCTCGACAATGGGCAATGTTAGCTGACATAGGATCAGGCTGGAAAAGAGCTAGAGGCGGTCAAACCAAAACATGGCATCAGTCAATGAAATCCACAACAGTTAGTCTAAGCCACGTAGGAAGATGTAGACTTCCTGACTGGTTGGGGTCCTCGGGACGGTAAAACCAATGGTTGGAAACAATTGGTGACATGGCTCAAAATCGTTCTCAATGGCTGGTGCAGATGCATCCACTCCTTGTGACTTGTGATTTCCGATGAAACTGTTTTGTTCTCCGTTATTACTATTCCTTTGTCTCACACCTCTGTTTACTGACTATATTATGCATTTCTTCTCTTGCTTTGTGTGGTACATGGAGTGTGGTAACTTGAACTGCCGCACATCAGTGCAAAGTTCTATGTCGAAAACCGACCGACCGACAAAGCTTCAAACTGGGACGAAACAGCTGTCCAGTACTCCCAGGTTTTCCAATAGTCCTGTAACCGATGTCAGTTCATGATGAAATCCTGACACCCTCTAATTCGTTGGAATAAAATTATTACTTAGTGAAATTCCTGAATAGTTTTCCAGGAAAATATAAAAATCTGATGCTTGCTAGTGACTATTTACGGAACAAAGTTGTCTAGAGTCATAGTGAGAATTCGTAACCAGCCGATTGGGAGTGAGGACAAAAACTCGCCGATGACATCGGCTGGTTCCAGTTGCGCTAAAATCACGAATTGGTAGAAGTTAGAATTCAGGGACTCTTAATACTGATGAACATTGAATCGTTTGTTTATTCAAACTTGTCTCCATTTGATGGGAGACAAGAAGGCTATCATTGCTTAATCCTATACTGGTTAGCAGAAGATTGGAGAAATACTGCCAGAAGTATTGTTGTACATTATATTAACGTTTATTTACAGACTTTGAACTTGGTAACAATTGTAACTCTGTTTCGTTATCGGTTGAAGAATAAACAGTCGTATTGGCCAACCCTTTTCTGTTGTTCCACGTCCGTTACAGTGCATAGTATTCTGCGTATTAGACTTAGTCTTCTGAAACCAGCGATAGGTCAAGGATCTTTGCGATCTGGATATTTCATAGGGACCACTGGATCTCTTTCCAGTGGCTGAATGGCTATCGAGCTTGCCTTGTAACTGGAAGTTCCTGAGTTCTATTCTTGGTTGATTCGTGAGTGTGTGCTGCTCAATAGTCCTGATCTAGGACGGAATAGCTTTCCAATACTCTCTGCTTTTTAACTGTTCTCTAACTGATATCAATCCGTAATCAAACCTGAAACAAGTCAAATCCCCACAAACAAACTCTTGAAAATGGAAACAGTACATAACTGGCTGCAAGTCAGTTTTATTTGCAGCTTTAGTTATTAGTATTATCTGCTAGTAACCAGGAGTATTTGGTGTACTTTATTAGAGAAATAACTAAATAGACTTTCTCTAGAGATCATGCCTTGTATGATTCCACTAACTACTTGTAATGTAATATCAGCTTTTAGTTAATTCATCTGTGCATTAAGTATCAATCTAGATAATGGAAATGCTGATGTTTTTTGAGGGCAAGGAGACTGATGATAATTATCCGACAATTATAACATATCTGTAGAGATTTCAATGACTAGATTACATCTTCAGGCATCAAAAAGGTTATGATCATCGAGTACAGAGTGACTTCTTTTATACTTGATGGTTTTAAATGCACTAGTCGTCAAGATTGTTTGACATATTAATATGCATAAAACTTATGCACTCCGGTAGTATATAATATTCGATATGTCACACAGTAAAAACACTAGTTCTTGTATTCTGAGTGGAACATCGGGCTTCAGCCTTAAGACCTTGATGCTTCGGTAGCGGTGTTGCTTTCTGTGGGGTGGGAGTGATAACCTCACGTCTAACCTTCCCTCTTTACAGGGCTTGCCACCGGTCAGGTGAGGCTTAGGAATGAGTAGGCCCAAAATCGAATCCGGACCACGTGCGTGCTTATCGAGCATTCTACCGTTAAACCCCCGTTTTATATCACAAAGTGAAACAGCATTATTTACTGGATATTTATTTACACATTCAAACCGATTTTGGTCCATCGCACCCTATGTCAGTAAAGGTGCGATCGGTGAAATGTTTACGTAATAGGTCAGAAAACTAAGTAGTACCAAAGAAAATATAAGGCAGGAAGTAGGACATCTAAAAGAAGCTTTGAAACTGAATAATTACCCCGATGAATTAATCAGGAAGTTGTAAAAATCAAGTTGATAACAATAATAATGACTGATATATCGAAAGCATGCAACGCAAGCCGAAAACGTGTTAAATAACTCTAAATTAATTTGTTTATTCGATATGCCGCACAGTTAAATAGTGTAATTTACTGGGTATTTTTTCGACCTGTCGAACACAGTTTAATGTTGATTATCACATCAATTGAAACTACACAACCTCGAAACTTCAGCTTTGTAGTTTTCTTTATTCCATCCCATTCGTTGTAGGGGTAGTAGGATTTTCTATATGTCAGGGACACGTGTTGAATCATTCCTATTGCACATATTTTCAGTTGATTTGATAAATAAGGTTTCCGTTATTAATATTTCCCTCCACTCTGATATATTAAATTGTAAGACTATCAACTTGTCCTGTTCCATTGTATGTTTGTGTGTAATCGCATGTAGTGCTATAGCTGAGCTCTTTTCCAGATTACTGATCCGATTGGGGTCAACTAATCTAGATTTTACTAGCTTTTTGTGCTCCACTAATCTGACTGACTCTGTTCTACTACTTTGACCTATGTATTTTACCTGATAATCGCTGCAGGATATTAGATAAACTGAATTCTTTTCTTTGATGGGCTGGATATGATCTTTCAACCGATATAATTTGTTTCTAAGGGAAACTGTGTACCGCTGATCGACTGGGATGACCAGTTGCATACCACTCACATCAAACAGTAGTGCTTCCTAGCCAGATCAATATGATCTAAACACTAGAAGTCGCTTCCCTCGTTTGGGCCAGACCTCATCAGTGGTATACTTGGTTTAACTTAACTAAGAAATCCGAGTCCCAAACAAGGGAAACGGCAGTCCGGTCCTTAAATCACTTCACTCTGGCTAGCAGACACTACTGGTTGATGTGGGTGGTGTACAGAATCGTCTCAATCATTCAGCAGTATGTAGTTTTATGCAATTATGCTTCCTTCACTGATCACCATTTATGATATCAAGGAGACCACATATTGTAATCTGAATAATTTCGGTTTCCACAGTAAACTGTGGTGAAATTTCATCAGGGACTAAGTAAAGTGCAAATTGGAAATCTGAAGTTTTTGAATAAAGCATGAACAAAAGTGGTTTGTGCAGAACAATATGGTTCCATCATTTATTTCGTTGGCTTCTCATCAGTTGCTTACAGCCTAAATAAATTCATGTTAAGTTCATGTGCAGAAACGTTTTAACATACTTGCAAATTTTACATGATGTCAGTTTACAGTAGGTTCCGTAATTAGTGAACAGTGCTCAGAAAATTACGCTTATATAGTTTTTACACAGATAGTTCAAGCTTAAACAAAGTAAATGTATGCATGCAATGGCAAAGGAGTTACGTAATAAAGACGAGAGATGCTGAGTGACTAATAAATTAGATAACAATGTACTGAATTCAACTCAAATCATAGAAACAAGAGACAAGCAAAATTACACTATATCAAAGTGGTGAGGTTAACGCCAAGGATTGCGTGATAAAATGAAAGAGAGAATAAAGACATCCAGTTACCAGGGCAAGGAAAGACTAATAACTGCTTCTTTCTGA